CATGTTAATTTGAAAATTACATATGACCTTTCTGCCTTCTATTTTTTTATTGTCAAACTAAAGAAAGTAGAGGTACGCATTACTACTAATGGTAGCTAGGGTAACATAAACTGATATCGCTACACACAGAAAAATTTGCTCTAACCATATACTGCATACTACATAGATCAACTACATAGTCGCTTCGTTGGGAGCTGTTACCCTGTTTATTTCTATTCTATTCTACTACATAGTTACATTGACCTGATCAGTTTGTTAGAAAAATTTTAGCTCTTCTGATAAAGAAGAAATGAACACCAACATGTGTTAAGAAGTAAGAATATTTTGTTCTGAGTTTTAGTTAAAATCTGGTTAAATCAATCCAATTATTTTTATAGGTGTAGGGACGCATCCGGGAAAGCACTAAAGTGGGCTCAACTGTGAGCTTTCTCGTTACTTTCGATGTACCTATATCCAGAGACGCAGATAGGAGTGATGTCAGCCAATCGGTTAAGATCGTCAATTGCCTCTCTTCATTATTTTACTACCTATCTTTGATTTTGTGATGAAAGTTTTAAAGAATTCAATTCTATATGTAGTTTCTCTTGTTGTCTATGCTATAAATTAAAAATATTATCTACATCTATTTTATATCAGAAGAGTCTTAAACTGAGATATTGTAGTCTCACTCATTGAAAAATCTGAATGGGTGTTGTTTGATTGTTGACACAAAAGAACTACTATGATCGTAATGCTCCGCTCCTCCAGAAATAAAGCTGTGACCTGACCTTCTATATCGTATGATTTACATTCGATAAATCATATTGTCTCTTCTGTTCGATGGTTGATACAAAAGATTTACCATGATCGCAATGCTCCGATCCTCTAGAAATAAAGCTGTGACCTGACCTTCTATATCGTTTGATTTATATTCAATAAATCATATTAATGAAAGTATATATTTTCAGATTTTCTAATGAAATGGACTATATGCGTAAATAATAAATATGACATTAATCTCTGCAGCTGATTATATCTGTAATTAGTAACCGCTTCTTTATCTAATAAAGCTTTAAGTTTTCATTTACGAAATGATTTATGTGACTTGCACAAAGATTGCAATTCATTTCTCAACAACAAGACAATTTCCTGTATTACGACTGATATTATTAATATGTAACAATAGATAAATAATCCAAACACATTTAAAAGCTAAACCTATATTTTCTTTTTTTGCTCATATATTTTTAAAACGGATGTTTATTATTAATAATATATGATTATTTTTATTTATGTTTGCAAAAATTATATGAGTATGACTTCATTTCGCTAGCCAACGTAATTCTGAAATTCTTCGGCATTTCCTTTAAATTTGATTTGGTTCAAGTGAAAGTTGAGCTACTGGGAATTATAGGTCACTAAGTAGGTGTTTATACTGATATGTTATTACATAATATCATGATATAAAAAAATATTTTTGGTGTTATTAAAAATTTCTTATTTCGTTTTTTTTTTGTTTTTGGATGATTATTATTCATTTTATTGATTTGTTTAGTGATTCGTGATGATACAAAAAATACTTTTATGTAAATTACCAAATATAAAATAATTTAGTAATTTTAATTATAATTATCGATCATATAACAGCTTAGTCATTTAATCATTTGGTCGAATCGATTATTTTAAAATTTTAATTTTAATTACAACCTATTCTTTACTTGCATTCATCAATGCATCCGATTGATTATAAAACCTCCAACTCTATCCACAATATAACGAAGAATGTAAACCTTCTTAAACCTTCTCAGACTTTCTTCCACTTAGCCTACCTACCTATTAACTTAGAGAGTATGATTTTGAATTGTGCATTCTATAATAATTACTTATAGTTTTTCCGTACAATTTTACTGATTAGCATATTTATTTCATAATACTTATTTATTAAAAAAAACAATTTTCTCTTTCAATTAAAAATTATACATTATAAAAATAAAAACATAACAAATACACTGTTTATACTTCTACTCCTACTTCTCTGCAATAATAAATTGCTCTACATATTACTAACGTATACCTATACTTAAACACTTAGCATTTGTAAGGATGTATAGTGGTTGGCCACTCCAGTAGTCTGTAATCTTTCCGATCAACGACTTGTTGTCTCTCGTTGTTAGTACCGAATGTATTCAAAATTGCAAACATTCTTTACGACGTTTTTCATCCTCTAATTTTCAGCTGTTTTCACTGACATGCTCAAGCCAGTGAAACTTGTAATTTTTAATACACTTTACTTTGTCAATGTTAAAGAAAAGCTTAAAACTAACACAGATATATCATTATCATTGTATTTAATTCGATATAGCACCATAGATCTTCTGAAAAGTTGTTCTATTGAACATTACTACTATCTTCTTATAGCTATTGGCCAGTGTTTAAGCTTCTGGTTGGTTAGACCACAAAGATTGATATTGAATATATGCAAGATGTAAGATTCATCATAGAAATTGGTTTATATATAATTGAACTTTTAACTGAATGGATGTGGTGCTCTTGTATGTACTTTAATTTACTAACAGTCTAAAAATTATTGTTTCCTGAGGCAGCGATAGATGATACTTTTGGTAAATCCATTTCTCTCATTAAAATATTAGCAGAATAGTTTCTGCTTAATTAAGGGTTTGTTACTATCTCTGAGAGTTTCTGTTGTTATTCTACTATATTTCATTCTATTGTACATTTTCGATAACAACATCATATTTTTCTGTTTAATTTTAAGTAGACTTTCAACTTAACATAATCTTCGATGAAGAGATATCTGATTCTATTGCACAACATCCAAGGAGTATTTACTAAATAAATGTTTATTGAAATATTTTTCAACAAATCTAATATATTTTTGTAACATTATTCTCATCCTTAATCTATAATATTTTGTTTTGAACGTCAATATGACGTTAGATACATTGGATATTTGGCAATAATCGCAACTATACAATACAGTATGGTCAGCCAAAAATTTAATTAATTAAAATAATATAAAAAGAATGTTTGTTGTTGTAGTTCACTACTTTTAGAAACCTCTCTCTATAGGCATATAATTATAAAACCATAAATTGCATAAAAATTGTGAAAAAATTCAACCAGGTTTTGTTTTTTTTTCCTTCAATATATCATTTTATATAATTATAGTATGAAATACGGTAGGCAATTATCTATTTAGTGCTTCTTGACATATGTGCCACAGTAATTAACTTTATTGCTTTTTAAGTAAAATTTCACATATTTAAATTGACAACAACACATGCACTAAACAATCCATCAGAAAAAGTGTATAACAATATGAGGAGATTTGTCGCTTAGGTCTTTAAGAAAACAAAAGACTCAAGCGACAAACTTTATATCAATGATAATGGTTTTAATGGTTAATTTATGCAAATTGTTAAACAAAATGCTACAATATTTTAACATTGAATTAAAATGTTGTCACTAATTAATAGCTTTTTTTCAATAATGAGTTAAATTTAAAAAAAATAAATAAAATTAAACATAAATGTTGCAAAAAGTTTGAACAAAAAAAAACCCAAAATCAAGGCGTATAATTTAGCATATATTTCTTTGAAATACAAAACGCTTCTTCTTCAACTAACACTGAGGAAAGAAAAAAAATTATAGGTAAAATTATGCAATCGATGATTTAACCAAACTTAGAAATATTTTTAAAGTTAATATTTAACAAAAAAAAAAAACAAGATATATTTTTTAAATAAATAATGATGAAATTTATTTTCAGTTGTCTAATATTTTAAGTTACATAAATTGTATACATTTGTATTTATTGTCTAAAGGATTTTTTTAGCTAATATTCGATATTTATCGTCCAAGCTAAATGCAACAAAAAAATGACAACAAGTGTCAATATACGAAACATAACTGAAAACAAAAAATTTTGTTCCGAGAAAAGCACGTTGCAATTTACATGCAACTTTACATGCATTATAGTATCTCATTGCATGCAATCTCATGATGAGTAGAGATTTTACTTAAAATAAACACAGTGGGCGTCTATGCAAAATCCAAGCTCAAAAAAGTGAAAATTTGCTAGTTTTTTATTTTGCATGTAAACAATAAATTTAATATAAGATATTACAAACCCGCACTCAGTTAAGTTACATAAAAAAGTGAATCATATAACCAGTCTTACTTGTTTGAAGAGAAAAAGGATACTGCATAGATACTGCAAAATATATTGAAAACCTTAAAAGTAAAAGTTAGACACAAGTTGCGATTGTTTCGATTTATTAAGGTACTAAATCATACAAATCAAAAAAAAATAAATAAATAAATAAAGGTCTTATAATTTTTTAATTACAACAAAAGCATACTAAATTTATCTTAAATTAAATAAGACACTTTTTAAACAGGAGTTCATCTCGTATCTATTTAAAAATGATTTAAAATAAATACAATTACAAAATTTTTTTTTAATTAATTGAAATTTTAGGCTCATCATACAGCTACTTCAGGAATTGAGTTTTTTGGTCAAATATAACGCTGTTTCAAGAATTGCTAAATACTTCAGGATTCTAATTTCCCAGGCACACTGATTTGATTTTAATAGATTTTTTAGTAAAGTCAGCTTTTTTGAGTTAGAAAAACGTTCTCTATGCTATATGCGATTATAGTTATAGAAATTTGAAGTTGTGCTTAATGTACCTCTGCATATGTTAGCATTCGGTAAAATCCCTCCGACTTCGTTTATATCAAAATAAAATTTCTAAGAAGACTGATGAAGGCCCCGTGGAATGTACGAAATTCGTATGTGCTCAAGATAATAAAAGTCTTAAACATATAAAAATATATTAGAGATAAAACTTTCAAGCTCTTCGATACTCTAAGTGTTCAATAAAATGCAGAAT